TAGAAGCTGATCTGAAACCTTTTCACCTTGGGCGACCCTGCTGGTATTTTAAATACCAGTGGTATAACCTCCAGAATTACAACAACTCACAAGCCACCACAGTATGACAAACTGACAGATATATGGTGGTTATCATTTCTAATAAGTATATTGGCATATTTGCTTTAATTAATTTTGGAAGTGTAGTGGTTATCTGTTGGACTGCTAACTTCAAGGTCAGCAGTTTGAATCCACCAGCTGTTCTGTAGGAGAAAGATGAGGCTTTCTGCTCCCTTAATAATTTATAGCCTCAGAAACCCTATACAGGGTTGCTATGAGTCAGAACCAACTCACTGGCACACTACCACCTCCAGTTGTTTTTTTTAAAAAAAAACATAAATCGTCATGTATAAGTATAATAATTCTTAATAGAACCTCTTTGCAACCTGCCATCCTTTCTCTCCTATAAGAAAGAATATGATTTCATTCTTCATACCATGCCAGTATTATTTTTTAGGAAGAAATATGGAATTTTAAGTTATCTAAGGGAGTCCTGGTATGGTGCTGTGGGTTAATGCGCCAGACTGCAAAGCGGTTTGAACTGCAAGGTCAGTGGTTCAATCTCACCAATCACTCCTAGGAAACCCTATACAGGGTCTCTATGGGTTGGAACCAACTCGACAGCAGTTAACAACAACAACAAGGGAGTATGGTGGTTCTGTGCGATAAGTACTGGAGTAGTAATCACAAAGTCAGTGGTTGGAACCCACCAGCTGATATTTTGAGCAAGATGAGACTTTCTTCTCTTGCAAAGACATATATCCTTGGAGGTGGCTGGGACTTTGCCGGCCTCACGATATCTGCCATTTTCAATTTTAGTCTGTTGACAGTAATATTGCTGCTAATACGTATCTGTGCTTATGTCCAATCCTTGACACGCAGCATCCTGGACAGAAATAAAGCTGGATTGTTGCACATATTTTGGAAGTGTGTCAGAATTGGTGAACGTGAAAGTCTTCACCTAGCAGTATGCAGCATTGTGATGGCATTCAGCATCCTGTTCATATGGTAGCTTGGGAAAACTCTAAAATTTAACTGCCATCAGATTTCAATATGAAAAAGGACTTAATCTACACAAAATAATGGGCAGGATGGTTAACCCTTTTATATCTGAACACTGAGATACATTTCTAGCTGCTGTTCTCCAGTTTTGTTATTGGACTAGTGTTCTGTATAAATAAGATGTAACCGTTTAGTACTCAGTGGGTTTAACATGTCTGTAACAATCAACTTCTATATTGTCACTACAATATTACATT